TATTGCATAATTGAATTGAAAGATTAATTAATGAAGATTTATTTTCGAATAAATAATTCATTAGACTATCATCAAATAATAATATTTGTTTTATAGTTGGCCAATAATGTTGAATATTATTATTAAAAAAATGAAGTGAACGATATATATCAGCAATATCGATTCCCTTTAAATCTATTTGCTGTTCATTCAATGTAGTACTACGTAAGAATGTCTGTCGCCATTTAAGCCATCAATGTTTATCTACACCTTCATTGACCAATAAATTCCAATACATATTCATTAATGATGCATCATATTCTCCTTCAGTATACACATAAGTAAATTTATCAAAATTTACCGGATTTTGTTTCCATTGCACGAAAAGCTTCTACCATCTCTGACAATAGTTCTTTAAATAAATCTAAAAACTTTCGTGGTTGTAGTTTGATTGTCTCAGACTTTTCTTGAATACGTGGCAAATGAACATTATTTGTTAAAATTTCGTACATATTTTCTAGAACAGATGGTTCATAATCATCAAATAAATTCATATCATCAATGAAATAATGTTGACATACACGACATTTTAGTTTCGCTTTTGTATAATCAATATAATATTTTGTTAATTCAATTGCAATTTGTTGCTCATCTTTGATATTTGAAAATATTTCATCAAAATTATTCTCTTCACACATCCATAAAACAATTGTTTTAGTAATTACGTAAGATTTAATATGCGTTTCCATTGATCGAAAATATTTATAATAGATACTACGAGCAATACCATTTAATATTGTTTCAATCGGCGATGGTAATTCTGCTAGTTTTGTTTCGATAAGAAGTCATGCTATATCTGTCGAAAAAACGATGACGTTTTGCATCGCTGTTGCTCGCATACATGCCCAAAGATTGCGGTTGACATGCGAGAGTGTTGGTTTCGATTTCAACTCTACAGTGCGAAAAGACTAGAAAAAATTATTAGACATTTTTTAAAGTTAAAATGATCACTATGTAGCTTCAGCTCAACGGAAACAGAGTCTAAATTTACATTATAATATCTAATTTAAACAAATTTTCCTTCGAATTATCTTTAGAAATACTAATTTCACTTTATTGCTTTCTGCTGCTGTTTAGAGGCCTGCGGGACCTTGGGACCGACTTTTTTAAAGTAGCGCTGATAGTTTGAAAGTTAGTGCGGTGTAATGTGGCTCGTGGAACAGCTTGCGTGGGTGGTATTAATTGAAGACTTAGAATTTTCTATGAATTCTTTCACCCAGAACTAGTGCCTACATACAAACAAGTACAGAAACTAAGAACGTTGTATGCTATTTTCAAAAAAACCTGGTCCCGGTTGCTTTAAACCCGGACCATCCTGCAGGAATGTGACAGTCCCGCAGATCTCTAGGTCCCGGTCTCAGTCCTGCTCCGTAAAAAAGATTTTTCTGGGTCCTCTTCTGCTGTTTACTACTATTTTTCTGACACAAGCAACGCCAAACTACATTTTACAGTTTTGTGTCTGTATAGATGCAAGTTCAGTACGAACACGGATATGAGGGTTTTAATCTACGTCTTCCCTCATTGTTTAACTCCGGACATACTTAGAGTATAGCCTGTAGTAGAGAATGAAAACCTAAACTCATAGGGTGCCTCATCTTCAGGGGTACATTTTGACCATTTCGGAATAATATAAACATGTTCATATTTAACTACATCATACAGATGAAAACGTTTTATTTTTAAACGTTTGAGAAATTTTTCAGTGATCTTAGGCCAAAATGTTAATTTAATACCAATAATAATATCACATTCTTCGTGTCGTTGATTATCTAAACGTCGTGTAATATTAATAATTGATTGATGAGCACTGTTCTTGATCATATGACGATAATTTGAATAGAAGTCGAGTACATGACTAATTTTTTGTTGAAGATTAATTGGTATTGCATCGCCAAGTAGCGATAAATACAGTGCACGTTGTATCCTTAACAATAGTTGCATACGATGACATTGTTTGGTAACTTGATTGGTAAAAAACACATCAAGTGGTGTTGTCACATGAAAAACGTCTTTTAAATAATTCGTGAAGTATTCTTTTCCTTTCTGGTGGAATATATCAGAAACACAGGTGAAAATTTGTTCAAGTTTTTTACGTGCTGTGATTTGTTGTTGCAATGTTAAATTTGTTCGGAACGTTTGTATTTTTTCACACGCATCATAGTCAGTATGTGAACCTTCATTAGAATATTGAAAAAAGAGACTTGCTTGTTCTTGTGAAGTAGATGGAGTTAAAATTGTCCGTGCTGTGTTTTGTTTGATTAGCGAATAAGTTTCCTGTTTCAACTGATATACATCAATAAAATGATTACGGTGTGGTAAATGATTTAATTTTTTATTTATCAATATTTTTACGTAGTCTGAACGAGATGTTTTGACTAGTTCGGACTCATCATTAATTTCAACATCCAGTT